GGGAACGCTATTCACAAGGTTGCTGAAAGTTCACCGATGGTCCACAACAGGCACTGTCCCTCTAAAGGAGACCTTCATCCAGCGCGTTCACTTGAGAATGTCATTAACGACAGATTCAGCTGATACTCAGCTGAGTCTGTCGTCAAAACCAAACGGATGTATTTGGCGAACTTTGTACGACTTGGGTTGACCTAAGCTCCATGAAGGGCGAAGCCAGTTCTGGGCTGTCGAAGTGCATTCAACAACCTTGCGAGTAATGTTCAGTCAAAAAAGTGACCATAAAGGATTATTATCTGTACATTATTGGAGTTAGAATACACTACTTTTTTTAACGGCTGACTTTTCAAGAAAAAACGCTGAACTGAGACTTCTCCAGGGACCTGGTTGTATACAATACCGCACATCCAGTTCCTAAGAAGCTGGCTTTCCATCAAATATCTCATTCAGTTCAAACGAATGCCGATCAGATCAACAAAAAATCAGATCCGCATGGAGTAAAATATCAGTCGAATAAATGGGGTAAACGATCATCCAACGCAGATGACGCTGATTTGTCAGTGACTGTGTCAAGTCATGTACCAGTTCCGACAACTGTTATCACACATCTCACGTCAACATCATGTGACTCTTTGCCTTTCTAGAAACTCCCCAGGTAAACGTAGTCCTCGAGTTTACAGCAGTCTTATTTCCCACCTAAACATGTAGGTGAAATAATAAGTAGTATATCTGTATAAAGTAGAATATTGCAACTTGAATATGGTTCCAGTTCAAACAACAGGTGGTTTTTGCATAGAATCCACGGTCTCAGTTGGTATCCAACTCATTCTCGCATAAACTAAATTTGCAAATGAGTTTGTAGCTCTGCAAGGCTGTTATCGCACTTGTAATTTGCGGAACAATTAGCCTTTACACAAGGCCAAATTCCATTTTTCACAACTGCGTAGAAGGCTCACAACACAGAGCGAGAGAGAAAAAATGAAAGGTGGGCGTAACACAATTGTCTCACCTAGAGTCTTTTCAAACAAAAACAACGATATGAAAAACTCAATTGTTTGCAAAACTACTTTTGTCATTTGCCAGTCCATTCGGATTGGGACTTCTCCCATTGTTGGTTAAGAATGGGTACGTGGAGGTATTTGGTTTTGTTCGGTTTTCGACAAAATGATATTTTTCGTCAGTTGAAAGTATTCCAATTGTGTCTGTGAAACACAAGGTGCACATAATTTGGTTGGGGAAACTCGGTGACTGCGCCGACCTGATGAGCCCCAAGAAGGGCGAAACCGGTCTGGGCTGTCGACGAATTTCCAACAACCTTATGAGTAGTGCATTACAAATATATACATGTATCGCGATATCTCGAATATCGTAGCGACTGAAACATGAAGCGGCATGGTGCGGCACATTCAGTTGCATGGAAACATCAAAACCGAGAGATCCAGCTGGGTTCCAGGTGAGTCTGTCTCAAAACCAAATTAGTTTGCAAATGAGTGTATATTCGCTGGTTGGTGTATTACCAAACCCATTTCAGCGTGCATACATACAGTGTCGTAGTCCTTTACAGGTAACATCATAAAGTAAAGCGCATGTACTTTGCACAAACTCGACACTGAAAACAAATTCGAATCTCCAGCTGGCGGCAGAAAGCAGAAATTCTCATGTTTCCTTGTCCCACATTGCTTTCCACTCTGACCGAAGCAATAGTTGATGCTGCTGTGTTTGGATAACCAGGACCAAAGAATGAGTGTGATCCATGTGGTGTCGTGATATTTCAGGTGCTACTTTTATCACATTAAATATGAAATAGATTCGGCGAATGGGAATGGGGAAAGCCAGACAAGATTTATGAAAAATCGATAGGTGAGGAGTGCTCAGGTCACAGGATTGAGAGTAGAGTGGGAAACGGTTTGAGATGGTGAGTCCAACACGAGTTTGAAGGTGGATTACTTAAGGCTATTACCAGAAGTACGATCAAAGTTGGAACCATATCGTTATGGATAGAGAAATCAATTTTCAAGTGCCTGAAAACGACGGTCTGTCTCTAGCACAGTAGCTACTCCTACATTCACGACTAGCATCTCCGAAAGACTTTTGTCGTTTGCACTGTTCTACGGATAATTCGTCGTATAACTTAGTATGATACCGCCTCATCTTTCACGCCTGTCTATGGAGAGATCAGCATTGCTAACATCCCACGGATGTACACACCAAACGCCGATATGCAGATGGGCACTGGATCATTTCCAGATAAGCCCCGCCAAAAAATAGAGCCCAGCCACCCAAAAAAGCTCAGAAAAAGAGCATATGAAATTTGTACTTTTCGTTTTTACTGAAGAGGGTAAAATTTGGACATGTCATTATTAATTTGCATGGAAAAGATCCGTTTTTCAATAGCTTTGCCTCCAAACAAATTCACACAAGTGGCTGTCCAGTGAAGAAGGGTGTGTCGCATTGGCGTTTATTCCGCATCTTGTAGACGTGCCAAAGAGATTCGATGGTTTGTGTGTGTGAGCTCCAGTCGTTGGATCCACAAAGTTTTCGGTATGATTAACCGTTTCAGGCGGAAACTTCGTGAAGAAAGTTCTTCCACTCAACAGCCGTCCTGTGGCTAACAGATAATCGCTCTGAGCAGAATTTGATTTTCGCCGAATTTTGGGATCAGCAATAAATGAGTAGAATTACCGTCCCAAACTCCATCCTAGACCATTCCAGCCGAATTCCCTTTCGAAGACCGACTTCTTGCCGACACTGTCGGGCATTATACCTCCACCGGTCACAAACAGTCGTTTGATGGCCATTGTTGCATAGTCGTTGCTGATGGGTCACTCCGTGGCTTTGCAAAAAACGTATTACCGTCTCCTTGTCATGAACGAGAGTTGAAAGCGTCAGAAAGATCATTTAAGATTTTAAGTCCGAACAGAGAAAATTTTCCTGCACAAAATGAGCATAGATGCGGACAAGGAATTGTTTTCATCAGAAATAGGTTAAGGTTGTGTGCGTACGTTAAATTGGAGCCTAACTTTCTGCACATGCACTTTTCGCACCTGGAAGAGATCGTGGCCACATTCGTGCGAAAATACAACTTGTGGAGAGAATGATAGGCAACCTGAGTAGAATGCCCGGGGTTTTGAGGATATGGCGGCTTCACTGTTTGGAATAAGCACCAAGGCAGTTGGTCGGACATCCTAGAGAATAGATGCTCAATCATACAACGTCACTTGTTAGAGGTCAGTCTTATGCCACACTTTGAAGGCTGCAGCTTGTCCCTTATAAAATCCGATGTGGCAAGTTGCTTTTGGGATTCTGTGTTTGATGTGACAGACCTAACAGTAACACTGTCGAAATACTGGTGTGTTTATTGATAGGTCATCGGGGGTCACTGATCTGTTCCCCAGTCGTGGTGACCACTCGTCAAACGTTTCGATTTAGAGGACATCATAAGTGAACAGTTTAGAGGGCGCTTTCTTCTTATCTACTTGTGTTTTTAAAGTTTTAGAACAATACCTTAACTCAACTGATGTAACTGGCTAACTGGTGTTTGCCTTTCTCCTAATCTTATTGGTCCGTTTGCATTCGGTGTTGCGCTGTGATTTGTACTTCCCTTATTCGGTTGGATCGTTAAGTGGCTTATTCTTGGTTGCTTTGGCTCCTGCCTAACTGGTCCTTTCCTGAGTTTCGTCTCCGTTCGGTCCGCTTTCTTTGAATACGATCAATAGTTGTGGCCATTATTACACCTGTCATTATGATCTTTTAGTTTACTGGCTGGAAGCGTGTTCCGGTCGGATTGACAGATCCGCTGAACTTCGATTCGCCCGCCTTTTTTGTATGTCTCTTTCAGGTTTTGTAAAATCCTTTGCGTTTTCAAATTGTGGGGTACATTGTTGTCAATATTTGATACATCGGTATGCTTTTTGATGGCTTTTTCATTGGGGTACCACGCTTCCATGAATCCACGCTCTTCAGTTGTTTTTGCCTGCGCTAGTATTCGAAAAGTACTCCAGTCAATCTTGATCTTCGGGCACTGGCAAGTTTGTGTTCATGGAGTCTGATAGAAAGCCTCCCTCTTATGTGCCCCAAGTAGTGTTTGTCGAAGTCGTTACATTGAATTTTGTATATGACTCCAGTTCTCATCAACGTATTCAATGTTGGTTTTATAACTCTTTCCATAAGGCACTCGCAGGTCTTTATACCACCGTGATGCCATGCTTCTGTATACCTCTTGTGATCACTTCAGAAATGTTCCTCATGTACGAAGTTGGATTCGTTTGCCTTCTTTCTGTGCTGTTGAGTAGACCGGGTTCGGTTTTCTGGGGGGGGGGGGGGTAGAAGGAGGTTAGTCTCCGAAAGACTGTAGCATAGCTGTATAGACATATGTAGATAAGGAGGAAGAGCATACTCTACTGCACACTGATGATGTCTCCTCCATTGCTGACGAAATGCTTGAGAACTTAGTAACAATGTTGCATAATATAGGTAGCTTTGGTGCGCTGCTTGGATTCTGGTCTGCTCACCGAGCTTTGCAGCTGAGATGCAAAATTTTCATCACCATCGTCAGTGCACTGACATTGTCACCTCTATTCGTGATGAAATATTTGCAATCCCACTCCGAAGCTCGACCGACCGACCAATGAAATCCAGATCAATCACCAGTCAACCCAAGAGCAGAATTCAACTGTGGATTTGTCCAGTGTCTGCCAATCACTCTCCTTCCACAAGTTGGTTCCATCGACGTGGCATCCTTGGCACAGTACTTGTAGTAGTTCAGAAGTGGTAACTACAAGGATGAAGCCATTTGAACGCCTAAAGCGACTCTAATTAGGCGCGAAGCGTTGCTACAGTTAACGTTGCTTTTGTCGTAAGTACCAAATCTAAGCGAATGAATATCAAGCCACAAGTAGTTAAGAAATGTTTCATCCTTTTCTGCGAAATTCTGCTCATCCATTGTAGGATTACCCTCCAGAAGTGGATTTTCGCGGCTTCCCCGCAGAATCTTACCAAAAAGTTCAAAGATCCCGACCCGCAGCACATCGACGAAGCGTGACACGAAATTCTCTGACTGTGAGCCGACGAGCAAGTCCACGTGGATCATCAGTTGGACAAGGAGGTAATTCTGCTTCATATTGTCCCATTATATTGCTCTTGGAAGGATTTGACACTGCTTCCGGCCAATAGCTGTTATACACAAGTGACTGATCTGCGGTGGTTGAGTCCAGTAGCGTATATCTGGAGAAAAAATGACTCTATGTGGCAACTGAGATGCCCCGTTCCACTTTTGCTACCCTACAAAACAACCATATTCTCCAAACCGACAAGCCACATCTCGGTGAAGTGAATCGCCCTGTTCGGTTCCGATAGCATTCGTTACAATTCATATCCGGTCAGACATGGTGAAAAAAATAAGTCCACCTAATTGTTTGGATACACCACGCATCCGAGCGCCATTCTATCCACAGTTGCACAATCTCTAGTTACCGTTGTTTATTGGTCCTATCGGATTTCATTCGCGCGAGACGTTGTCCAACTATCGATCGATTTGTGATGTGTACACTGTTAGCATTCATCGTTACAGTGTCATTCACAGTCGAAAGATCATTGGTCGAAATCGGGCTCACAGTGAAGTTTATTTCAAGTGGCACATCTATCATGCTTACGGGAAGCAAACTATGGTAGATTGGTTACGGAAACCTGCATTGGATAAGAGTGCAGTGCAGGGCAGGGTGCACCGGGAGCCCCATGGCAAACCGTGACCTTATCACTTGCGCACAACTGGTCAAGACAACATAAGAGATGGAAGTACGGGTTGGTCGGCACAGTGGCTGTATAATCAGGTGAGTACGATGGAAATACAGAACTGCTGTTTGGAAACAAACTCCTGAACACGTTGGCCTGCCAACCAGGCTGCTTGCTGTACGTAACCGTTATCTTGCAAAGCCGAGTAGTTTCAAACTGTGATACACGGACGAAGACTTGTCTAACGCTCCCACTGATCTTTCGACACCAGGTAACTGTGCGTTTTTCTCATCACGCCACACGTAAGTTCTCGAATACAAGCATTCGCTCGTTCATTCACTCCATTTCAATGGAGATTTCATCACGCTAGTGAAGCCAACTCATGCTGAAAAGTCACAGGCTTTGTGCAGCCATTTCATCCCTACTAGAAGCGATCAGCAACGAGCATCTCAAGAAACTCATCTTCTTGAACCCGTGAAGCTCGGGAATTTAAACGTTTAGCCAGGAGCGACAGATCAGCTCTCACGTCATTTCCTTTCCATATTGCTTCAGCATATGACTCACGTCAATATCATCAAGTTTGATAATGGTAACAATCAGTGTCCCGACGACACTCACCCAATGTCCGCTTACAGCACTCCCTACTTATAAGAAGCCGTCATCTAAAAACCACTTCCAACAGACAAGTGATTTTGTGAATTCACAGGTTTTTTAGACCTTTACTGAAACGTTCCCATATTCATTAGAAAACTCCACACAACGAAAAACCGCAGTAGTTGTTGCGGATCACTTCAGTACGATGTGATTTCCCTCTTTGCTTGAAAAATCTTTCATCAACCGAAACAGGAGATATTTTACCAATCAGTGCCAATGAGGCAGAAACAAAACAGCCAAACTTCGGTCCCTCTACGCTGGGTAGAGATGATGGCACTCAGTTGGTTGAACTATCGAGCCCCCAACCCCACGTCCCACAAAATACAAGTGCTTGAAAAATTCTTCTGCCAACTGGACCTCACTTTGTCCTCTAGTTAAAGCAAAACGGACTGAGTTATGTCCATCACAAACAGATCAGGGTGAAACCAGCTTGCATCGTTTCTTTATCTGTGCTCTGATGGGCCATTCAAGGGAGTTTTACACTGAAAGCATCTCGGTTGCATTCGCGATGAAGGATAAAGCGAATTCATACACATAGAATGTTAGCCACTGTGAAGATTTGCTCCTATTCAAAACCAGGGAAATATCCGCAATTAACTGCCCAGGAAAAGATGCATAAGTGAGGGACCGGAGGAAATCACTGAATGCTGTGCGCGCCTGGAAGCAAAGCATTAGCAAGCGAAACGGATTAAACACTACTAGTGAACTATTCACAACACGTCTTGACTTTGGTAGATGATGCTTTCTCACTTTATACATAACATGGCTGGTAAAAATGAAGACATCTGGATTCCTTTTTGGAACTCACTTCCCCTTGGATCTTGAGGACCCACGCCCAGGTGGCAGTCTATGTTCACTTTTGGTGGCAAGCGCACACGGAGAGACGCAGTAAGGATATGTCTTCATTAACTAGACTAAGATAGCCTCTACACTGAGAGTAATTCCGTCGTGAATGGCTATGAATTAGTTCGGTACGTATCTTCTGATGAAAGTGCCTCGCTCTTCAGTCACTTCTGTTTCAATTATCATCCCTCTAAATGGGCTTGCGCAAACCAGCGGGCATCCACATATATTCCGCAACGTGCGTACCACCGCAACCGCGTTACGGTAGAGGAAAGGAGCTTCGAACACCGTAAATCAGCCTCGTGTGGCGATACTGATCACGTCCGGTGGCCAGAGGATTCGCATTTTATCTTCTTTTCTACCTACTTATAACGGATCAAGTAGTATGATGATGTCCATTTTGATCGAGCCAATCTTGATGAAGCGTGAATTACGCCCTGAGCCAGGCAATCGAAAGGCGCGTATACGTTTAGATGATCTGTGTACACAACATATGCGCACAGGTTACTACGCGCTGACTGATTATGTGCTGCTCCTAATTGCTTGAAGTTTTTAAGCTTCTCAAATTCATCCACATACTTGTCTCAAGCAGGCTTAACCGAAGTGTTTGGTCTAGGTTGGCTCATTCACGGGTATCTTGCGTGAGCTAGTACCACTAGAAGTTTACCAACTAAAATCTCAATTTTTCTTTTGGCGTCCTAAATTCTAAGAAATTTCGGTAGTGGGGCTCCTGGACATAAATATGAACCAGGTCGTCATTTGTACTCTGTGCTACCGCGGTCCTACCGTAATCGTTAATCTCACAAACAGGAAATAGGCCGTTTACTAGCACAATTTCAACATCCTACGTGATCGAACGGTTAGCAGAGGCAGGCACACGGCTCAAGGAATCAACATATCCCCGAACCACCAGTGACCAAGATAGACAAACCGGCTAAAACACTGGACACTGCATTCTGCAACTCCTTCCGTCCAGGTTTCTGTTCACGTCATGTTCCTACCTTTGTACAGCTCCAATCCAACCACAGTAGCGTGTACCAGTCTCCATAATACCACACTGACAACATATGCGCGAGCGTGCAAGGTAATATTGTCATCAGATTCAGTGAGGCAGGTAAAAGAGATTACAAGTATAACACTACGATAAGTTGTGTTATCGGAACTGGATTAGGGGAACCGTCATCGCTGGTAAGCTAACCTCATTCAGCCAGGATTCCCCCTTCTGATTAATGCGTAGGTTGTTGCTCGGATCTCGCGATTTTTCTCGCTTGGTGGAACTGACTCGTCTTGTGGTTCCCCTAGTGAGAATCAAGTAGTATTCCTATCCTGCTATAGTTTTGCCATATTAGGCCATTTCTACGAGAAAAATGTTTATTCTAGCAGTTTCTTCTTGTTTTGGGTTTTCCTGTACAGTCAGAGTATCACGTGTTCAAGGACGCTAACTCCTCCAAATGTAATGTTTCTCCACTCGACAGCCTAGTTCCCATCTCAAGTCGATCTGTTTGGATTGTAAAATTATTCCTCCGGTGGCTTGGTTGTTTGGTGAATACTGTCTGAAATGTTTAGATATGTCCTCGCTACCATTATCGTCATATTATACTGTTAGTAGTGAGGGCATACGGCTGAGTGGCACAATTGAGAACACGCGGACTGTTAGTGTTTAGCCACCTATTTGAACAGGTGCTAAGCACAGACGGAGTGTAGTGTGGAAAACCATCAAATCGCATGTATATGAAGCATTGGTCTGCCCGTGGAATTCTGTCCCGTCTTGTTGCCGGACACGTGTATGCAGATAGTTGGTTGGGTCAACACAAGATCAGCTTTCGCCGAAATTTTTCTGTGCAATTTAGCAACAGAGACCCCGTTTTTATTTGTCATACTGTGCGGTAATCATACGTACCATGTTCCTTGACTTTCTACAGGGATTTCGCGTGCTACTGCACATAGACGGAGTCGAACAAGGAGCAAATTATGGACCTCGGGGCAGCTTCCATCTTGGGCAGGTAAGATTCCACAGGTGTCGACCCTGCTACTTTTATTGCAATCAGTAATAAACACCGATAGGTATCTTGAATTGTTTACTTTGTGTTATCGGAAATATGCTAATTCGTTTCACCTAAGAGTTCTAAAATTATACGGAGTGGACAACGGCACCTCTGTGTTAGTTAACATCATGTAAATACCTTGTAATGCCCTGCCATCACTACAGCAATGATTACTTTTGATGATTTTTATTTCCCTCCCTTATCTGTATTTGATAAGCACTCTTTCTCTCTCTGCCACCGACTAACTATTCCTACCCACCTCACCGGTTTTTTCATACATCGAGGTCAAACCGTTGTTGACCATGGGGCTGAAACATGGTAGTGGCGCCCAGTTTATTAACAGTGATGATGAGATAAATATACCCTTAGTGATTTGGTAGCCAATGAAACCATTGTTGGGGATAATACCCCGCCTTACAGTCAGCTACTATTCACGATGTTTTCGACTCTTTAGTAAGTAATATCATCACCCTGGCAGATAACGTTTACTTAAGGTGTCCATTCTTTTCAGCTAGCAGAAGCAAGGGACAAACCTACAATATAAGGCTCCACACTCTGTCCAGACACGTACAAGTGTGTTGGTAGATTCCAGAACTTATTCACAATGCAACCAGACCCAGGATTTTTGGACTCGGCCCTGTGTAGTCAGCATCCTTCTGTCATTCTATCAAGCCCACACAATTTTAGGGTCTCCTGACTCTTGCGCACAACCTTATATGCAACAGTTACTACCACGAATAGACCACAAATGACCCCAGAAACTCACTTGAGATTGCCACAAACTCAGAAAGCCACAGATCCGAAGCGTTGTACCTTGTCAGTTAGGCTTGTGCAGAAAGAAAAACAGAATCTACACACTAATCAAACTACTACGTATGACCGGTTAAAAGCCAACGTATACCAACTCAACTCATTTCATCATTTCAAAAGTGCACTCGGTTTTCCGCCGTCTTTGGCCGTTTTCGCGTGATCTGCATAGTCATCATGGTTTCACGGCACCTGTTGGGTAACGAACGTCCTGGTGCAGTTGTCTAATCAGATGTTCCGGGTCTGTCAGCCCTTGTCATTTTCTGCTTCAGTACTGTTTGCCCTGAAACTTATCCCCTCACATGGAACATTTACAGTGTAGTGGATCACTCCGTCTCTACGTCATGAACGAGAGTTGAAAGCGTCAGAAGGTTCATTTTAGGTTTTACGTCCGAACGGAGAGAAGTTTTGCACAAAATGAGTCTAGATGCGGATAAGGAATTGCTTTTCATCAAAAATAGGTCAAGATTGTGCACTGTTTGCATCAATGGCGGGGCTTATCTGGAAAAGATCCGATTATAGTGCCCGCTGACGTAGTCTGTCGCTTTCAATTTGTCATCACGTATACCGATGAACTACAGAGTTGGTTAGGGTGTCAGCATATGAGTACTTTTTCATGTTTGGATTACCAAGATAGTCGATTTGCTTTTTCATGAACAAGGAAAACGTTTTATGCCGAAACATGACTAAGTAAGATATGCTTGCAAGAAATTTCTATGGAACGAATCAAACAACCATCCTACCGAGCAGTTTGGATTGACTTTCGATGACAGGATAGTTCATCCCACGTTTACGGCTGCGACGCAAGTGTGCGAACTGAGGCGCGCATAATCTGCAGACGTGTTTTCAGGAAACAGCTCCATTGCATTCCGACGATACTGTAAGCCTTACAGTGATGACCGCCGACAACTTTGTTGTACTGGAATGATGTTCCGTGACGGATTGAGAAGGAATATCTTCAATTGGATTTTGACGAAAACAAGCACCTCATTTTCCATGATATGATCGTTTGACGCATTGGAGTATTCAGGCTTCAATGTCAACTTTCCCCCGACGAATGAGCTCACGACATTTTGACTCGAACAATTGCTCTGCTCAGGTTCCATGGTACATCTCGTGCTTTGCCGTACTGCGCCCAAGTCACGGAACTCAAGACCTGTAAAAATAGTTCGCTTGGTAAGAGCTTTAGACAGGATCGAGAAAGTGCAATGGAAGCGACCGGTGCAGCTAAGTTTGGTCACTGAACATCCCAGAGTAGCATAACTGAACGTACTTTAGGTAGCTCTCTTGCTACTCATTTATTCGATTCTGATCCTCTCAAAAGAGACAATCTTAGAAAAGAACTATTCTAGGCTTTGAAGAGAACTCTTCAAAGGGACGCAGCTTTATTAATTGCTTTAGGGGGCTAAAACAAGTAGAGATAAATTAGTAAATCAAAGCGAAGATTCTTTTTGTGTCTTTATGCCGAAATCATAACCCTTCGTGATTTACTCAACGTTACAGCTTGTAATGTAGACTACTTATTTGACGTACTCTGTTTTTTTGCTACTTTAGGACAAAGATCAGACGAATCAATCGACGGGATGACAACTATTCATTTTTCTACAGAAGGTGCAGAAAAAAGTAAGAATTTCAATCATCCTATTAGGATTTGACAACTGTGAGATTTTCAACGTGATTGCTCAACCAACTTGTTGATAATAGGACCAACTGTCATGTTGTTCTATCAACTGATGAATCTCTAACTGTAGTTGATCACGGTTCAATGTACTTTCCTTCAAGAATTTCAAGTGAACAGATTATAATCTCCTCTCGTTATTTACATAGAGGAAGCTTCAAGTAGCTCTCGATTTGTTAGGAGTTTCGAGTCAAAATCGGCTCGGATAGTGTGTATCATATGGAATTTTTAAGGTCTGTCTGGCTTGAACTTAGTAGGCATGATAGCCAGATGTTGAACAGAGGTCTCAACAATGGCGCATCAAAGCCAGTACAACAACAATGGGAGACGTTCTAAGTGCACGCACAATCACACGAATACGCACACACGCTGGCCGCATATGAATGACAGCAGATCACAGGAACACACCAATCATGATTGAATCTGACTCGTATTCAACTGATTGTAGAAATCCTTGAAGAAGGTTGTCCACATCAACCGAATAGTTGGATCCTGTGATGCCCACTCTCTCCATGCTTTACGTTCTTTGATTACGGAGTAACCGGGCCATGGGAAGTCATATGAACGGTCCGCCGTCTCCCAAAGACAATTGACAAGAAATCGTCGAGAAATAGTGAAGCTAGATTTCTGGGCCCAGCGATGAAAGTTGTCGTTATCTGTGTTTCGGGGAGGCGTGAAACCACTTGGACTGAACGAGGTGACATCAGTCAAGTGCATGCGCTGGTCTGAAAGTACCGGTTTAACAGTAATTAGAAGTTTCCAGTAGATAGTTCTTCCTGTCAGGGAAGCCGATCTGCGCTGAAAAGCTTAGAAGCACTGTACATCTATCCTCGTCGTGAAGCATCAGCAGTTCGTATATCACGAAACGCAGATAGCTCCGAAACCGCGAGCATCGAAACTCTCTGAATTTCATGAGATGCGCACTGCTAATGATTCCCAGCAAGGATGAAACGGCAAAGCAATACAGTGCTTTCCGACTAACTGTTCAGCTTAGGTGGCTTTACCGACAGGATAAAACTTCTCGTGAAATCTATCAATTCCCACATCATCATCAATAATTGGGAAGTTGATCAGACAATAATAGAACGCTGCAGCCGATCGATACGCACCACACATACCCGCGTACTCATATGAGTTACGCTTTCCTGTACGTTCTGGTTGGGTCAGGTTTTTGAATTTATTCTGGTGGGCAGCGCATTATTTGAGGTGTTAGTCATTTTTGGTGATTCAGACACTCGCGATCCAGTTCAGTCGTTTCGCCCTTACAACAGTGTTGCAGCGTCCTGTGGGTAGTTCCATATGGCATATGGTTTACTGAGTGACGAAACGGAATCACTGATGAAGTGTGACTAAGTAATGAACGTCCGATTAAAAAGTCAACCATGCATTCGAAGTGTTCATTCTACGGAGTCTTTGAGAATAGTCTTCGCCTCAGACGTCACCGGGACCATTTGTCAAGAGACGCCTGATATCGTAGTACGTGATTATCCAGCCTATCCCATTTCCATGTGCTCTCGATATGGACATGCACCAAAAGCAGCGACAGACCACTCCCGCCCCGTCCCTTTTCCACTCACATCCGGCTCAGGCACTGTTCTTATCTGCGCCATATGCGATCGAGGCAAATGAGGTGAGCCCACACACGGATGAAGGCAGTGAAAGCCTGATAAAGCAATTCAATAGACAGGCTGGGAGCAAGCCATTAAGTGGGGGATTGACTTTCCACTGAACGCGAATTCGGATGAGAAACGCATTTCTAGTCTGCTGTGAGCAATCGCGATTCACCCAAGAACCGACCGCAAACTCACACATCATGCGTACGATTGAAGTGGGCCGCTGGGAGTGCAAGAACCGTCAAAACATCAGCCATAGGGAGGATCATGAGTGGTTTAGGCTAATGTACGCTATAAGTGGATTACTTCCGTAGCGGTTTGGAGTGAGGTGATCAAATAAGGCCTGACAAAAATAGCTACACCACTTCAAGCCACGCTCCGACCGGTGGACGTTGGACTTCGGGCTACAAACAATGCTCTTCAGCAAGTCATCAGTTGATGGGCCTGCCACTGCGATGACCCAGAATCAGGGCATGTACGAGCTGCTATGGTCTGGGTGTTCGACCTTGAGATCACCCCAGTGTTTCATTCAAATTCGGGGTGGACATCGCTTCACACACTTCACCGAACCAAACAACCAGTCAATTATCGGGTTCTAAACCCATAACTCCCTCTTTCTCAGTCGATTATCCATAGAGCTCATCATCACCAGAGCCAGAATCCATCTACGTGCCTCGCCAGTGCTGTCAAACACACATCTTCTTCAAACTCGGCAGCGGGCCGCAGGTGTAATGTGGACGGCGTCATCGCTGATTCATTTTTAAGCTAATTAACCACGTCCTTTATTCCTGTCTTTCCGTGATGAGGGCCCCAGTCTCCCAGACTCTTGCCCAGTAATCGGCTGCAGTAGTACCACAACTAGTTGCGACTCTCAAAAGCCTGACGAATCTACTCTCGCGTTTCAGTAGGATATGGGTCACGTGAACAGCACCCAGCCTTGTCACGCGATTCGTGCTGCAAAAAAATTTATTCAGGTACTTTTGGCCTAGCCCTTATATTGCTTCGCTTGATAAGGTCAAGTAAACGAAGTTAACCAATTGGGCAGGAGTTGCGCTTATAGCTTTCATTCACTGAAACCGCGGTCACGACAACGTTTTTTGAGACTCGTTGCCACGCCTAGGGTTGACTGTCACGCAGACACAGTTAGCTCCGATCCGCCTTGCTTGGTTCCCTGCGGCGCCGAGATTATCGGGATGGTCTGACGGGAGCGGGACGGCAGTTAGTGGACGGGTATGCACTGGTGATTGGTGGTATCTTTGGCCTTATCCCCTTCAAGCGCCGTATCAAGTGAGAAGCGGTGCCCACGCACAAGACTTGCGTGATCTCAGGGTCGAACACATAGACCACGGCGACTGGTCCTTGTCCCGATTCTGGGTCATCATCATCTGACGAGTCCGCCATCTTTGCTACCCGAAATTGGTTGACTCACAGCGCCGTGACAAAATTAAACGACACGAAGTGGGATAATGTTGTAAGACTGAGGACTTGACTCCAATCTGATCACCTGATCCACGTGTACCTGATGATTTGAGCGAAACCCGGAGCATAACTCTCAATTAACGACTATTCGTGGATTGGTTAATAATAAAAATCGTTCAGCTGTAACGCCCTTTCGGTGCCTAGCTACCATGCTGCCCGAGGGAAGCACGTCAGGTTGCCCAAGCCCAGACAGGGCTAGTCGAGAAGCAGAGGTCGGGTTCGAACCACGGAAATTCCGATCATTTAAATTCGCGCCCTAGCCACTTGATCCTGGATTGGTTATTATCCCCACCAATTCGCTTCACGAAGAAAGACCTACCAAATCCAAGGTGTATCGGGATTGATTCGAATTAAAGAGAAGTTGTTCTCCAATATATTGGTAACCAAGATAACTCTCTAGAAATGTTGATATCACAACTCAGATGGTCAGGTATCGGTAAATTCGAATTTTCGAACTCAATGAGGGAACTCGCTTGGAACGTGTGCTACCCGCCTGTTTTTGTGTCACTTAGTTAGTTACTGACATTGTTTGATCTCTGTCCCTTATCGCAGATGAACTCGACAAGACTCGGATTAATTATAAGGCGCCATCAGGAAACCAGTTTCTCTAGATGTGACATTTTTGAAATTCAGAAAATTTGTTTACCAATTCTGAAGACGTACCCAATAGGTTCGCGATCGT